CCACCTCTCCCCACAGCAGGGAGCTTGGCCACAGCTCTCCTCCCCTTAACCTTTCCCACCCCAGAACAGCCTGGGTCAATTCGTACCAGGTCCAGTGGCTACTGAACACACGGCCCGGAATCCTTTTCACCTCTACAGCTGAAGTTCAAGGGGAACCACAGATTGCTTGGGAAGAAACTGCTGTACATCCCTGGCAAGCCCGAGAAGATCCCAGGCCCGGGCAGGAACACCCAAGAATGCTCACCTATCCATACGTGTCATGGAACCAGCCCAAACTTGCTTAGGCTTCTGACCTCTGCAACCAGCAGGGTGTGCCTGAGATTTAAAGGGCAAGCTTTCCAAAAGCGAAATGACAAAGCTCCTGTTTCTCTCACGAACAGTATTCCCTTCTGGATTTCCACGTGTGATTACCCAAATTATAGTTTTAAGCATAATCAATACTTGAATCTCCTGGAACACGATCAAGCCTGGATCCATTCATAAACAAAGGCATTATGTAGTTAAGAGGCAGGCAACAATGTCCTTGCTTTTACTAAAAATTATTGCTTTTTATAAGGTGTAGGCTATGTTGTAATAAAGTAGACTTTACATTTTAAAAAATGTTTTCCTTCAAACTCCTATTATTTTTCTCCTTGTTCTTTCTAAATCCAAGTATATGTACTTTTTCCTCCCCAAATGGACAGGCCTGTCTCTAATATTTGAGAAGCCCAGTGTTAGAGTGTGAGAGGAGATCTGTGGTCCCCGGCTCCTCCTCTCAGCCTCTGGCTCCTGCATCACCCAGAGTCCCCCAGCGGCCTCCCAGGCATGCCATGGGAAACCCCAGCTCACACCTCCAGATTCTTTTCTGCACAGCTGCCTTTTGGCCTTCACTTGGCCCACGGCACATACACACCTGTGGCATCATCAGCCCCCGAGAGAACAGATGCATAAAAGGTCTTCACAGCCTTAGGCAGTTGAGTAAGGAATTCTCGGGTCCCAGGAACCCTGGGCAGGAGTGGGATATGGGCTGTGGGTAGGCACATACCTTTGGAAGCCTGGCATCCTACTCTTCTGGAGAGGGACACAACCAGAGGAGGACTGGAATAAAGCCCTCCAAAGTTCAGGGTCCAGGGAGCAGGGGGTCCAGGGGGTCCCTACCCTACAGCACTACCAAGAGCATCTATACATTGTGTCTACACAATGCCTATGTATATCTCACATAAGTGAACACCTTGGTCTGGATGTTCTATCAACACACATTCTATACAAACCACTGTCACAGACTTCAAGGTTCTAGAAGGCAAGAAGGAGACAGATAACATTGTCTTTGCAGAGCACCTGCTTTATTTAGCAGAGATACCTCTTGATATTGCAAGATATCATGCAAATACGATGATGTCAGTTTCTTATGCGAAGTCTTTACCTGCAGAAGTCCTTAAAAAGGAATAAGAGAATATTTATTTGGAAGTCATTGTATGAGTGAGGCTGTATGATACTGTTAAAGAAAAAAAAAACAGATGTCAAAAAAAATCTCATCAACAACGACAGAAGATCTGGAGGTTCCTAAGGGACTCTCTTGCATGGGTCTTCTGGCTCCCAGCACTTTCTTCCTCTGGAAACCTTCCTCAAGCTCTCAGTCCAAGCCAGGTGCCCTCTCAAGGGCTCCCACAGCTCCACTCCTCAACGCTTATCGCTCGGGGCTGCACCGACTCCTTGCCCATCAGCCTCCCCAATGAACCTGGGGTCTGGTGCTGAGTCCTGTCAACCACTGCACGCCTGCTGCTCACCATGGAACTTGGCACTTGGTAGATTTTCACTAAATACTTCCTGCCTGATCACCAGCATTCAAAGCAAATGCAGTTTTGGAGTTGCCATGATAGCTCTTCACTACAGGGGCTCCAAGTACTGACGAATTCAAGCAAAACACTGTTTTAACTCCTGGAAGAGAGAGAGACTCTGAAAATAAATCTAATACCTGAACATGTTGCATTACAGAAATGGAGACCAAGGGGGAACACATAAGAACATTGCATAAATGTCCTCTGAAGGATTTAAGTGTCATTCATTTGTGAAGTTGACCTCAAGTTATATGCCTCCAGAAAGGGAAGCATTTGTTAAAAAGACAGTAACCACGCTTTTGCAGAAAGCATTAATCTGCATGCGTGCGCACATACGTGTTATCACTTCGTCTGTAGATCTCAAAGTCTTACTCTTACTGAAACTGAGGGCGCAAGGAACACCTACCAAAAAGCTGTGTATACTTATTTGAAGTATGGCACACTGTATCTATTTTAAGCAAAGTTAACTATATGTAGCAGATGGATTACTTCAAGAAAATGGAATGTTATGGAAAAGCAATTGTCTTTTGACCTAAACCACGTACGATGTTATTTCTACCCGCAATCCAGCACTACCGGTAGAAATGTTAAACGCCAGGCAATAATACAAAGACATTGAAAAATACTGAACATCTGCAGGGATCTGATGACTTTGTAAATCTTTTTTAGAGGCACCTATAAAGGAAAGACACTCCAAGTGGAGTGAGTGATTAGTCCAACTATAGAGGTCCTCTGTTGGAATGCTGACCGCCCCTCACTCTGCAAGTTTTCTGCAGACGCAAGAGGAGAGGAAGCTTATGCAAAGGGATGGGGTCTGATCTCTGCATCCCCCTCTTCTATGTTACACCTCTCAGCTCCCAACCTCTTCTCTGCTCTGATGGCTGTGCGTGCAGTCCTCACACCACGGGCTCAAAAGCAGCTGCTGGCACAGCTCCAGCCCAGGTGGATCCAGTGGTTCAATTTGAAAGCCAGTAGCTTCTTACCATTCTTTCCTCTGAAGCAACGGGATAACCTCTCCTGCCAGCAAGAACTTCGGAAAGTCCTCCTACCAACTTCTGGGGCCCAGCTCAGGATAGCTTACGCTACACGGGGCCAGCCTGGGTTTCACCCGCTAGGGCAGCCGTACCTTCCTAAACAGAACTAGAGTCAAGAAAAAAGGTGTCAGAAGTTTCTCACAATGAGAACTAAAAACCAAACTATGGTTAGTCTTGTTAATACAGATTCTTGGTTTCCCATGTTCATCCTTTATTTGAAAACTCAAAGTACAGCACAAACTTGCTCTGTTCACTGTGAATGGGCATTTCATACTGACCACCCGCTAGCTCTCCCCCACCCATCTCCCTGGACCCAGGTCCCTGCTTTCCCAGGAGTCGTTGCTGACCATGCAGTGAGTGATCTCATCTTTCCTTAAATTCAGAACTTGTCTCTATCAATTGCCTACACGAGGCTAAGTAAGGCACTCAGTCACTGCCAAATGCTGGAATCACTAAAAATCACCTGGCACTTCAACAGCTTTTTCATGCTACTGCCTTATATTATTACTTCACCTTTCCATGCTCTCCCTACTAGTCAGCCTCTTGAGGTGAGGATATGTCTCCTTTAATTTTCCACACAGTGGGTCCTTAAAATTACATTTTCTGAACATTTGGGGCAGGGAGGGGGAAAGAAGGGGCCTTTATTTTTAGCAAGACAGTTTGCATGAACAAATACTAAAACAGCTATTTCTTGCCGGCCCTCATTCTCAGCAGGGGCTGCCCTCAAAGGAGCCAGTGACAAATGCTCCATTCTATATTGATAAGTGTAAAGATACCCTCCGCCACTAAGCCAGGCCTGAGAACTTCTGGGGTCTAGAGATTTTGAGGATCACTGCAAGCCCAGGCATTACGCGGTTGCCGGCCCCCTCCCTCTCGCACCCGCTGCAGGCAGCAGCTACCAGAGTGTCTGTGAAGGTTATTTTATATATATATATATATATATATATATATATATGCACACGGGCAGAGCCTACCCCAAGGCCTGCAAGACTGGAGGAGGATTAATGGGACTAAATCACCAAAATCTGACAGAAACACTTTCACGGCGGTAGAACCAGTTCTGAGAGTCTCCAGGCTCTTACCTACAGCAGGGCCAAGCGAATACTCAGTTCAGATCCCTAAAGGAGGCGATGCCTCTCGTGGGCTACCTGGACAGCCACGTCAAACATCCAAACACGCAACAGTCACAAGGGGCTGGCCTGCCCTCTCCTAGTGCACCGGTAGCTCTTTGTAGCCAACGGGGTGCTGCCCTAAACTTCTTACAGAAGGTGTGCGCACTCCATGCTGCCTGAACTTCACGCAGGGTGGCACCTGGAGGTGCAAGTGACTTAAAAACGAATAAGAGCATCCGCGCTCCCAATGCTCCGAAATGCCTGGTGTACTCATCTGAAAAAGAAAAAAAAAAAAAAAAAAAAAAGGTCTCTGTCTGCAAATTCCGTTTGCTGGCCGGGTAATCCACTCCCGCCCCCAGCCCTGCGTAGAGGGCCGACCCGTACAGCTGTTTTTAATCCCTACTTTTCTCACTCGGCGTCCCCGGCTTAGGCTGACCAGACTCGGAGCCACTTAGCGTTTCCTCCTCCCCCTGTCGGGGTCTGTCCTCCCTCCGCCGTCTCCTCTTTCTCCGCCTGCATCCCCGGGGGGCAGAGTGTGGGAAGGACGAATTTCCGCCCGGTTTGCCCGCCACTCGCCGCCTTGGGTCCCTTCCGGACGCAGCCTGCGCACCCCCGGCTCCTCCCCCGGCTGTTCCACCGAGGCCGCGCTCCTGGTCCGGGACCCAGAGCCAGGAGGCGCGGGCGCGGGGGCCGGGCCGCCGGGGCGCAGCAGCCAAGCCGCGCCCCGAGGAGCTGTTGGAAGGGCTCCCGCCTGCAGCTGGGGACTCCGCTTGGCGGGGAGAATCCGTGCCAGGGAATCCAGCTCTCCGGACTCTGCTGCAAACAAAAAGCTCAGGTCTGACTCCCTCCCCCCCGACGCACACCCGGAGAAACAGTTTTGTGCAGAAATGCAACAAGTAGCACCGGGAGCTCTCGGAGTGCCCTGCGCCGCCTGACTTGGCTGGGCGAACCCGCCTGCAGAGACCCCGGCCAACCGCCGGACAAAGGGCGGAGGAGGGGCCGGACCGCGCTGCGGAGTCCGAAAGAGGCCATTTAGCGACTGTGGCCAGGCCAAGGGGAATGCAGAGGAGACACAGAGCAGGCGGGCCAAGAGCACGATCCGGCCGCAGCACGCAGGACGCGCGGCGATGGAGGCTGCCCGCGCCGTGCGCTTCCTCCTCGTGGTGTGCGGCTGCCTCGCGCTCCCGCCGCGGGCCCAGCCCGTGTGCCCAGAGCGGTGCGACTGCCAGCAACCCCAGCACCTCCTGTGCACCAACAGGGGGCTCCGCGCGGTGCCCAAGACCAGCTCGCTGCCGAGCCCCCAGGAGGTGCTCACCTACAGCCTCAACGGCAACTTCATAACCAACACCACGGCCTTCGACTTCCACCGTCTGGGGCAGCTCAGACGGCTGTACCTGCACTACAACCAGATCCGCTCCCTGCACCCCAAGACCTTTGAGAAGCTCTCGCGGCTGGAGGAGCTCTACCTGGGGAACAATCTCCTGCAGGCGTTTGTCCCGGGCACGCTGGCCCCGCTGCGCAAGCTGCGCATCCTCCACGCCAACCGGAACGAGATCGGCCGCCTGAGCCGCGGCTCCTTCGAGGGCCTGGAGAGTCTGGTCAAGCTGAGGCTGGAAGGGAACGCCCTGGGGGAGCTGCCGGACGCGGTCTTCGCCCCCTTGGGCAACTTGCTTTACCTACATCTGGAGTCCAACCGGATCCGCTTTCTGGGCAAGAACGCCTTTGCCCACTTGGGCAGACTGCGCTTCCTCAACCTCTCTGCCAACGAGCTGCAGCCCTCCTTACGCCACGCAGCCACCTTCGCACCGCTGCGCTCCCTCAACACCCTCATCCTCTCGGCCAACAGCCTCCAGCACCTCGGGCCTCGCGTCTTCCAGCACCTGCCTCGTCTCCGCCTACTCTCGCTCGGGGGCAACCAGCTCACACACCTCGCGCCGGAAGCCTTTTGGGGGTTGGAGGCCCTACGCGAGCTGCGCCTGGAGGAGAACCGGCTGAGCCAGCTGCCCGTGGCGCTGCTGGAGCCTCTGCTCAGCCTGGAGACTCTGGACCTCAGCGGGAACGCGCTGTCTGCTCTGCACCCCACTGTCTTTGGCAACCTGGGCCGGCTGCGCGAGCTCAGCCTGCGCGACAACGCGCTCAGCGCCCTCTCCGGGGACATCTTCGCCGCCAGCCCGGCCCTCTACCGGCTGGATCTAGACGGCAATAGCTGGACCTGCGACTGCCGTCTGCGGGGCCTGAAGCGCTGGATGGGCGACTGGCACTCACAAGGCCGTCTTCTCACCGTCTTCGTGCAGTGTCGCCACCCCCCGGCCTTGCGGGGCAAGTACCTGGATTACCTGGATGACCAGCAGCTGCAGAACGGCTCTTGTGCGGATCCCTCGTCCTCAGTTTCCCCAACCGCCGAAGGCCTGCGGAGGCCCTTACCCACGGCCACCGGGGAGGAAATGGCGCCCCCTGCAGGTGGGCTCGCGGAGGAGCTCCCGCCGCAGCCGCAACCACAGCAGCGCGGGCGATTTCTGCCTGGGGCGGTCTGGGATGGGGCAGCCAGGGAGTTTTTGGGCAACCGCAGCGTTCTGAGGCTGAGCCGAGGGGGCCCGGGCCTCCAGCAGCCGGACCCGTCCTCCGCTGCAGCCGCGGGCCTGGCGCCACACCCCCTGGACCTGCTTCAGAAGCCCAAACGGGGACCTCCGACTCCTGCAGATGCTGCCCGTGCGGAGCCCACCCCGACGGCCGCACCCGTCTCCGCGCCGGCGCCCGCTGGCGACCCCTGGCAGCGCGCGGCAAAGCAGAGCCTGGCAGCGCAGCAGCAGGAGAGCGCCGCCCAGTCCGACGGCGGGGTCGGCCTGCCGCCGCTGGTGTCTGACCCGTGCGACTTTAACAAGTTCATCCTGTGCAACCTGACCGTGGAGGCGGTGGGCGCAGACAGCGCCTCGGTCCGCTGGGCTGTGCGTCAGCACCGCAGCCCCCCGCCGCTGGGCGGCGCGCGCTTTCGCCTGCTCTTCGACCGCTTCGGCCAGCAGCCTAAGTTCCACCGCTTCGTCTACCTGCCAGAGCGCAGCGACTCGGCCACACTGCGGGAGCTGCGCGGGGACACCCCCTACCTGGTGTGCGTGGAGGGCGTCCTCGGGGGCCGGGTCTGCCCGGTGGCTCCCCGCGACCATTGTGCTGGGCTGGTCACCCTGCCAGAGCCTGGGAGCCGGAGCAGCGTAGATTACCAGCTGCTGACCTTGGTCTTGCTGGCCGTCAACGCACTGCTGGTGCTCCTGGCCTTGGTGGCCTGGGCGTCACGCTGGCTGCGGAGGAAGCTACGGGCTAGGCCGAAGGGTGGGGCCCCTGTGCATGTTAGACACATGTATTCCACCCGACGTCCCCTGCGCTCCATGGGCACGGGCGTGTCTGCAGACTTCTCTGGATTCCAGTCCCACCGTCCGCGCACCACCGTGTGTGCTCTCAGCGAGGCAGACCTCATCGAGTTCCCCTGTGACCGCTTCATGGACAGCGGGGGCGGCGGCACCGGTGGCAGCTTGAGGCGGGAAGATCATCTTCTGCAGCGATTTGCTGACTAGATCCAGAGCCTCCAAGGGTGTGGAAACCACCTCTTTGGCCTTGAGGAGCCACGTTCCGTGGAACCCCTCAACCCACCTCAGGGGGAGATCTCATTTTATCAGGGCTTCTCTTTGCTCCGTTCTGTGCATTTGCCAGACAAGCCAAAGGGAAGGGCGATTCGGCAATTCCTCCCCACCCCCAGTTCCCAGTACCCACTCATGAAGTGAACGGGTGGTCAAGGCCAAGAGTAGGGGACAAATGGATGGTGGAGCTTAGAGGTGGGAAGCCTTCTTCTACATGGAGACCCTGGCACAGCTGTGGAAATGGCGTTTGTCTCACTGCAGTACAAGAGCCTGTCCCCTTTGGGGGTGGAAAAGGGTGCTTTTGCCCCTGCTAGGGCCAGAAAGAGATTTGGGTGCATGCTTTTTGTTTGTTCAGTATGAAACAGAAGAGTTTTGTTCTATTTAAGGAAAAAAGGAACTCATTTGGTATTACAAAGGAGGCTTGGCAACTTGGCTGCACTGGTCCGGTGGTCTCTGCCAAGAAGGTAGATGTTGGAAACAGGTGGTAAAGTTTAACACACTCACCAAGGAACTCTTCTGTGTTGGTTAATAGAACATTCAGGATAATTTAATGTTTAAATAATGAGAGACGCTATTTTTTTCTCAGCAATGTGAAGATCTCTGCCATTTAACAAACTGACAATAAACTCAAGGACTATTTTAGTTGAGCTGAGTGGTTCAACTCGTATTTTCTTTTTAACATTAACACCGCAAGAACATTTGCTGACCTGGGGGTTAACTAAGATGACCTACTTTCTCAGGAGAAGGCTGCACGCAAGACTTCTGGGTCAGGGTGGCTCCTGTGGCTTTTCACTTTTCTTTTTCTAAACCTATCTATGGAAAAGGAAATTTCAGTGCCAGACTTGATAAAAGAATGTAACTAATGCACGCATAACCCGTGACCCGGCAGGGAGCAGCCACCTTCCAGTTCGCTGAACCACATCTCTGACGGTGTGGCCAGATTGGAATAAATACGATGCGGTACTTCTCTTGTGTTTATCAGTGACACGCAGTTGACTGTGCCCTGCTTCTCCTGAGTTGCACAGTTAAGCGATAAAGGTAATTTCCTAATAGCAGGGGAGCAAAAGGTGTTAGTCAATTGATAGTGTAACATTCAATCACACTAATGTCTTACTCTATATAAAACAGAGGGGAAGAAATTATTGGGACAAAATGTGAAAAAGTACAGCAGTGGTTGTCTATTTCTACTAAAACCAGAAGGTTGTTAGGAGTACTTAAACCTCACTGTGAAATAGTTCTATATTTTGCAAGTTAATCCCTCCCTCCCCAGTGTGTTACCGCGTTATTAAATCTTATCTTTTAGTTACTAATTGCAGTATTTCTTTTAAAATTTTGTTTTGTTTTGTTTTAAACTTAGGATTAGGCTCCTTTATTTGCTCCGTTGTTTTCAACTATTTGGGACACTTTGGCTCCCCGATATTTATGAAGTACATGTTTATCGCTAAGTGTAGTGCTTTGGTTTACATTAGCAATTTTGTGTGTGGTCTAAAAAAGCGGTCCCAGAGAAGATCTGCATGGTTATACTCTCCGTGGTGATGGATTTATTGGCAGTGGGGTGCCGTGGGTAGAGGCAACTGCAAAGGTGCTAAGGCTGACAGTGACTCTTCTGTTTAGGGCCTTATGCCCCTGATGGTCTTGTTGACTCAGGGAATCTATCCTAGTCAGGGGGCTCCTTCCCCAGAGCTCTCCTTTCATGTTTGGTCCATTGAGCCAAGCCTGCCCTTGGCCCAGCAGCTGAGCAGGGACCCAGGCATCTAAATGAACTGATCTGTGTTTATGTTCAGATGAGTAAATGTCCAGACCACTTAAAGTACAGCTGCTTCTCTGACAGTTTTATCTGTGGGGCCAGAACTTAACCCACCACAGGAAATAGGCTGTCATTCTTACTCTGCTGTCGAGCCTTGTGTCAGACCCTGAGCCTGTTAGTACACGGGAGAGAAGTCGTTGTTCACTCTATTTTGCAACCTTTGGGGTCTCTTGCACGCCTGGTGCCCATAATTTTGTTCATTTGTACAGTGATGGCATCTTTTAGCTGTTCCTTTTGCATGGCAACAAAATACTGAACCCCACTGAAAGTCTGGAAAAGACCACCCTTTCGACGTGCAGACCATCACTGAAAACGCTTCACGGAGAAACAGTAAAATCTATGTACAAATAGTTCTACTGGAAAGTCTTTCAGTGGGAAATGAATAAATGTTATACGTTGTTATGTTCAGTTATGTCAATAAATCCACTTACTAATGGAGGTGTTTTATTGTTGGAGTTGCCAAATATTTTATACACTTTCGTAATGATCCGCTGTGGTTTTCTATAGCAGTTGTCATCGATGACAATGAAACGTGAGCTTAAAGTCTATATCTGTCCTCGTTCAGTGGTTTTTAATTGCCATTTCTACAGTAGAGTACGAACTTTATTTTTCAGAAATAGATATGTGACTTTGTGCCCAGGGAAACAATAAGGAGACTCTCAAAGCGATGGTGAGCCATGATATGAAAACGCTCTTAATATACCAGTGACAGCAAGAAGATTAGGTCTCAGCAGGCAGCAGCCGCTTAAAGGAATCTGAATTAAAAGTCAAGCCCTTGACTCCCATGGTGAATAAGCAGAAGGAGCTATCTTGAACTGGAGGTCATTTTTGCCATTACAAAGTTTATGAAAAGATAAGATTCCTAAAGAAAAAAGACTAAACTTCGTGTGAGGTAGGAGTGTTCCTTTAACGCACCATTGAAGCAGTCCGGGATGTGGTTGGACCCTCAGCTCAACCTGTAAGATTATTACTTTCAGAAGACAGATCGTTGTGCCATCTGCTGCTCGGTAATAACTGGCACGTGATCAGAGCCCCTTCACCAGTTTGTAAAGGCCTGGTTTTCACCACAAGTAGAGCACTGTGGGCAGCTACCCCCGTATTAAGAAACCATTAAAGTAGACACTGGTATTACTTGGTATTGGTACTTTGCCACTCCCCAATCTTCTTTCTGAAATAAATTAATGACAATGAAGCAGTCTAATGCCAGAAACTTATCAAAAATCGAGGCCGTGACCCAGGATTAAAACAGATTTCAACTCCTGTTATACCTTCACCATCTCAGAGAATTAACAGCGTCAGTAAAGTTCAGTAGGATTTTAGGAAGCGTTGAAAGCATGTCCATCATCTGGGACTGTGTTCTATTAATGTAATCTCTATGTGCCTCCGTTTCTGCATCAGGTAAAACGGGAATCTTGAGTCCTGACCGCACAGTGCCATTTTGAGGAATCAATGAGTAAGAAAGCATTTGACGGCCCCAGTCAGTCCATTGGCAGATGTTCAAAAATATTAGATGTATTATTAGTAGCATTATTTTGTGCACAGGGCAACAAAGTGTTGGAAGACACATTTTAGAAATGTCATTGCCGGACAAGGCATTTCTGCTTAAGCCCTAACTCATCAGAAGATTCAGATAATGAAATTTAGTGACCCCCTCCCTTTGTTCTGGTTCATCGAGGCTCTTTAATGAAATTTATTGTGGAAGGACAGCTCTTGAAATACTTGTCATTATTTTATTACTTTTTTCTTTCTCATTATTAAAATAAAGCTAATATACTAGTATTTGAGCAAAGTTTTGTATGTTTATTAAACTCTTGGCATAAGTATATTCATCTTTGAGACTCGAAATAACGGATGTGTAAACGGTGTTGCTTCCCATTAACTGAGTGATAGCATCCCCAAGTGTTCTTTTACTTAGTTTACATAAAAGAATACTTTGCATGAACAAATGCTTCCCCTCCCCCCCACCACCACCTCAGGGCCTTCAGGGCACTTCACCCTTATGTGGCAAATACTATTCATTTTACACGGGAGACGGAGTTGCTTGGAGATTATACTTACATTAGTTATTGAAATCATTAGGTAGAAATATGGCTTCCTGTTACCTGGTTGCTTTGTCTTGGGGGCAGAATAGCTAAATATCTCATTACATCCATTTGAAAGGTTTTAAGCTACAGGTGGTGTGATTCCTTGCTGGCACAGAAACGAGGCTTTATAATTTGGCTGTGAAATGGCATCAGGTGCTAGATGGAAATAAATTGTCACTCACCAGCATTTCCAGAAACAGCATCTCGTGACTCTAAATCCATAACATTTTTTTCAAACTGATCAAAGCTTCTTAGTGCTAGCTCTGACCCCTGCTCGGTCCTCGAAACCAACTACCACTGTTAGTAGGATATGTTTCCCTCTAACAATCAATTCTTATTCATACAAGTTGTGTTGTCTAGGGCCACAGCAAACCCAGAGGAAACAAATACTGAACCCTCACTCTGAGGGGAAATTCAGGTTTGGGTTTCTGTAAGCATCTGGTCACATTTTCATCAACTTATCAACACAGAACCTTATTTCATGCTCTTTTCTGTGTAAAGGCACCTTATTTGGGGCAACTTGGTGGCTCTGTGGGTTAAGCGTCCAACTCTTGGTTTTAGCTCAGGTCATGATCCCCTCATTTGTGGGATCGAACCCGGCATCAGGCTCTGCGCTGGCAGCACAGAGGAACCTGGTTGGGATTCTGCCTCCCTCTCTTCTCTGCCCCCTACCCTGCTCCTGCTCTCACGTGTTCTCTCACTCACATAAATAAACTTAAAGAAAGAAAGACGCCTTATTTAATATATATTGTCGATTCATGAATTGAATTCATGGCCAACAGCCCTGTTGTAACTCATGCCTGAACGAGGTTTACCTAACACACATGCTTTCTAAGACACATCACTGCCGTCCTTCCCTGAGGAACTCTAGACAGCACTTCGGGGCTATGTTTGGGGGGCCCTTTTAAACAGCAAAATCATACACACACTCAAAGTAAGAAAGTGTGAGAAATGTGGCACTAAACAGACTATGAAAAGCACACTTGTTTACAGCGGGAGAGCTGACCCAAGCAGGTGAAACATTGCCTCATGCAGCCTCAGCAGGGGGCATGCATGGGTAACTCAAATTTTCCATGGCTCTGCCTGTGTCCCCAAATGGCCACGAACATACTGCGGAGTATTGATTCTGGGCTCACAAATAAATGTTGGTGAGTGAGAGCTTTCACAAATATACAGTCTGCAAATAATGAAGATCAACTGTGCTCTTTATTGGCCCACATCCGCTTCCTGTGACCCCACCCCTTTCCTCAGTGCCATCAAGGACCCACCCTATCCCGAGGGCAATCTTTGGTCCTGTGAGTTGAGGACAACAGCTAACATTCCATTTGTATTGTTGGTGATGGTAGCTTTGCCTGTGTATGTTAAAGGTGAAGGTGTGCCAAAGTTTTTTGTTTTTAACAATTTCAGTTTGAGGTTTTCTAGCGATTCAGAGTGGTTTTTGCTCCCATGCTACATCGGTACAGTTTCTATTTCTTCTTTGGGAGAATCTACCATATATTAAAAATATACCTATGTAGGTGTCTTACCTCTGGCCACTTACTACTTCTGGTTTCTCAAGAAGGGCTCCACAGAGAAGAAATAGCTAAGTCTATCTGTAAACTAAGTATATCCTTGGGCTAAGCATAACTCCTAACCCCCATCCACTCTGGGCTCACTTTGGAAGATGTCAGCCTCTCTTCCCTTTTACTGTGAAAGACTCTGACACTCTGACTCAATGGCATTCTTCCGTGTGCCAAAGAAAAACGTGGCTTACTCTGAGAACATGGTTTGCTTCTTACAAGTTCTTATTTATATACTCTTACTGCCTTCACATACCTCGTTGAGTCATGTAATTTTCCTATTTTTTAATATTTTTATTTATTTCTAGGAGAGAGAGGGGGAGGGTCAGAGAGAGAGGGAGATACAGACTCTGAAATAGGCTCCAGGCTCTGAGCTGGCAGTCAGCACAGAGCCCGACGCGGGGCTCGAACCCACGAACCACGAGATCATGACCTAAGCGAAAGTCGGACGCTTAACCGACTAAGCCACCCAGGCGCCCCTAATTTTCCTATTTTTATTTTGACTGCTGAACACACACACAAACACAGCTTTTTTGTTTTTGACTTGTGCTCAATTCTATTTAGGTATTCTTCCTTATATCATGTTGTGTCACTCACTATTATCTTCTCTCTGACTTGATCCTTTAAACAAAACTTACAATTTTATGAAAGGCCAACAGACACTTGAAAAGATGCTCAACATCACTCATCATCAGAGTGATATGCAAATCAAAACTATAAGGAGATATCACCTCACAACTGTCACAATAGCTAAAATTAAAAACACAAGAAACTAGTGTCAGCGAAGTTGTGGAGAAAAAGAAACCCTCTTGCATTGTTCGTAGAAATGCAAAGTGGTGCAGCCACTGTGGGAAATGATATGCAGTTTCCTCAGGAAGTTAAAAATAGAACTATCCTATAATCCAGTAATCATACTACTGTGTATTTACCCCCAAAATACAGAAACACTAATTCAATGTGATTCATGCACACCCATGTTTATTGCAACATTATTTACAATCGATAAATCATGGAAGCCCCACAATGTGTCCATCAACAGATGAATGGATAAAGAAGATGTGGTTTATCCATTCAATGGAATATTACTCGGCCATAAAGATGAATGACATCTTGTCATTTGCAACAACATGGATGAAACTAGAGACTATAATGCTAAGTGAAATGAGTTAGAGAAAGACAAATACCACATGATTTGATTCACAAGTGGAATTTAAGAAATGAAAGAAATGAGCAAAGGGGAAAAAAGAGGAGACAAGACACTATATTGAACAAACTGATGGTTACCAGAGGTGGAGGGAGGGATGGTTGAAATAGGGGATGGAGATTAAAGAGTACATTTGTCAGGATGGAAAAAAAAAAAGAAACAAACCCAAAGTGAGATAACTAAATATTTTTAAAATAACTGATAATTTTAAACTTAAAAAAGGTTGCAAGACTATTTCAAAAATTTTCTGTATTCCCTGTAACCAGCTTTACTAATTGGTAATATTTTGCCCCATTGGCTTTATTATTGTCTCTCTCAACTATTCGAGAGTAGCAGCCATCATGTTCCTTTACCCCTAAATATTTCAGTTGTACTTCCTAAGAACAAGGATATTCTGTTAAATAGTCATAGTGCAATTTTCAAGAAAAAATTTTAGCACCAACAAAATGCTATTTTCCAATCCACAATCCATATTTAAAATATATCAACTGTCTCATAGGGCACCTGGGTGGCTCAGTCGGTCAAGCATCCAACTTCAGCTCAGATCATGATTCTGAGGTTGGTGAGTTCGACCCTGCGTCAGGCTCTGTG